GTGGTACCAGGGATTGAACTCAGGACTTTGTGCTTGCCAGACAAGCACTTACTCTACTGAGCTATCTCCCCAACCCAAAGCATGCAAGTTTCAAAGCCAGATTCAAATCCTAACCTCCCTCCTTCCCAGCTGGGTGATCTAGGCAATGCGACTTAACCTCTCTGGGCCTCAGTTTCTTCATCTGAAAACTGGAGTCCCTGAGAGCATGTGCATATCTCACTGACACCTTCATAGAAAGCAGGAAGAACAGTGCCTAATACACAGTCGGCACTCAGAAACTTGTCCTGTAGGTCTCTTCTTGGCCTCTGTATGTTCACAGCTCTGACCCTGCACATAACTTCCCACTAGCAGACCATGAGGTATCTCCACAGCAACAAGGAATCCATTTCACCTCCTCCAGGTAAGGTGGCCTCGTGTGCACACAGAGCGGGTGCTCAGTCAGTCCTGGCTGGATAAATGCCCCAGCCTCCCCCCACCCCAAACCCACATCACCCATCATACTCACATTTCCTCTGTTGATGTAGATGGTGACCTGCCCCTCATCTCTGACCTCAGAAAACATGGGAGCCCCCACTAGCAGGTCCGAAAGGCCATCCCTGTTCAGGTCAACTGCGCACAAGGAGGAGCCGAAGTAAGAGCCCATCTGCAACCAAGTTGAGTCACAACACAGTGTTCAGTGTCTGCCCTCACACACCAGGGCCCACAGCACTCTGACTCATTAGCTTCAGAAAAACTTGCTCCTGGCCCCTCCAAGGCTGCACCCACTGTGGACTATACCTACCAGTGTGCCCAAGCAAGCATGACGTACCCAGAACCCATGTGCCTTCCGAGCACCCTGAGACCAAAGCTGAGGGACTCAAAGAGCCCCTTTTCTAGGAGTCCTATTAAGGAGAAAGTCAATAAGCTAATCCCTGGAGAATGGGGTACTGTTTTGAAAAAATGTAAGCTGAGGTTACAAATCCAGGTGAAAAGCATGATAAAAATGCCTGTATATCAAGCATTTGACAAGGCCAAGCAAGTAGGAATGTGACATTGTACCACACGAGGAAGACATGAAAAGAAACGCTGTTTGGGAAACAGGGTACCTTCCCCCTGACCTGTATGTAGCTAAAGACTGGCTCGGAAGGCATGAAGTAAAGTGACATGAAAAGGTAAAAGTCATACAACTGGTGCAGGAACAGAGCCAGTTATATTGGCTCTTTAAACATAGCTTAACCCAATATCTTTTAAATCTGGGGTCTCAAACCCAAATACCAATGGGATTCAGGCAAGTGATAAAACATATATAAGAAAAATAACAGTGCAAGCGTGCTTCCAGATAGCAAGTGATGCTTCTCTGGTGTCTTGTGGCAACAGGGAATGGTGGAGACCGTGGCACACTGGAGCACACAGGCCCGGCTATGGGGCAGCTTCTACCCAGCTGCAACTCTACTGCCCCAAGGAAGGCTGATCCACAACAGAAGCCAAATTCAAAGATTCTGTTTGGCCTGTGAACTAAGCAACTGCACTGAGATGGCAATTTGTAATAGTAGGTTCATGCTAGGAGTGCCTGTCATTCTGGTCTTCTGAATACAGGCTGCTTGTCATGACCTGCCAGTTGCTGCTGCGCTGTCTTGTGGGTAGATGATCATTAAAAAAGAAAAGGGTGGTGAATGAAGGCAGGAGACATAAAAAGGAATGTTGTGGGTCTGTCCTGCTTCAAGGTTGTATATGGTTAGATTTTTGGACTTACGTGTAAACATAAAAATTATATAATTTTTATGCCTACTTTTTAACACATATTCTAATTTTTAAATATTTTTTCTTCATATTCTGTAGGGACTTAAAGTTCAACATATCAACACTTGATGAAAACTACCTGCTCCATGTTATGCCTAAGATGTTTGATATTCAGACAGAGAGTGAGGTTAAGCTGAACAGCCTAGGTTGTATGGTAATAACAATAAACTTCTCTTCTGGAGGGTTAACAACTTAAGTTTGCAGACCAAAATTAGAGAAAAAGGAGGGCTGCAAGGAAAGCCAACATTTTGGCCCTAGCCTTCCAAGTCACTTAAGACTCAGGACATACGAGAACTTGTACTGTAACATCACGTAACTCAGTAGTGTCCCAAATTTTCTGATCAAGGAGATTATGGGGCCAAAGAGGAAAGTGATCGATGATATAGCGTTTGCCTAAGGAGAGTCACATGGAGAGAAAACATTCTCTCAGGATTTCACAGAGAGCACATTGGCCAAGCAATGGCTGTGACTCATCCACATGACTGACACTGACAAAGGTTCTAAAATCTGAGGTACAGGATCTCAGGATAAATCCTGAGGGGATTTCACTGACCTTATCAGATCCACAAGCTACAACTCTTGTTGCATAGGTCCTGCTTTACCTTGGTCTTAACCATCCAGCAGAAAAGTATAAAAACGAAATATAAAAAGTAAAGACACGCTCTTATGTTGAGCTGTAAGGGACTCAGGTCAGCAATTTCTGACATTGCCAGTGAAGCGGAAAACCCAATACTATTATGGACTACTGGACTCTTTTAGAATATTCTGCTGAGTTAACACACCTATAATATTCAAATAACGGAACTAAACAAAAAAGGAGATACAGATGAATGTCTATTTTGTATCTGTGTATTCAAAACGGTTAGAATAGATATATAGTTACATTCTCTTAATGAATAGAGGGATTTGTTCTAATAGTATAAGTAGGATATCATGTCCACATCTTGTACAGCAATTAAACACTAGGAAGAATGTATGCAATGTGTTAATTATTGAAACTGTCCTACCAATTTGGTTTGAAAAAAAAAATAAAAAAGAAATAGTTAGGATAGATATATAGCTACATTCTCTTAATTCAATGAATAAGATTTGTTCTAATAGTGTTTGTGGATGGGATGTCTTGTCTGAATCTTATACAATGAATAAACACTGAGACAACAAAAAAATAACATTTTTTCATGTATTTTTTTCTACTATACCAACAAAACATTAGCGTACTCCTTTAACCTATTCTATAATAGTCCCCTCTCCACCAAAATGGAAAGGAAATAAAGACAGTAAGGCAAAAAAAAAAAAAAGATTCTGTTTGAAATACCTATTTTTAAGTGCTGATAACTTAATGCATAATAAAAATGATTAATTAATATTATGCAGACCAAACAAAAACTTTGCAGGCTATATGCTCCCTGAAAGCTGCCAGTTTATCACCTTTAACAACAACAAAAAAGCACTATGTTTTTAAAATAAAGGCTTTCAAATAGAAGTGCTCTGGCTCTATTGACCTGAACAAGCATTTTCTCTTGCTGTTGAGGTATGCTGGCAGATGACTCAGGGGTGTATGAGAGGTGGGAGCGCTCCCATCTATTTCCCGCAGCTAGGGCTGGCACTGGAGGACTCTATAGCGGCCACTCAGAAACGCTTCCTAGACACATGTCAAAGCCAACCACCCATTCTCAAGGGTCACAGGGGAGGTTTGGAATCCTAGAGGGTGGAAAGGACAGAAACCAAGCTTCCAGGCACTAACTCAGTGGCCCTGACAATTTCCTATCTGAACTTTCAGAATAAAAACTGGTGTAGGACCCTTAAGAACAAAGCCAAGCACTGCTCTCCCTTGCTGAGCCCCACAGGAATTATTTATTTCATTCCAATGGGCTATTTAACTTGGAATATTCTAGGGTGTTAAAATCAAAAATCCCTGTATGTGGAGTTTCCTAACTTTTGAAACACAAACACTTAACACACTCAGCTAATTCAGTAAAACCTCAATACTGCAATGGCATGCTTTAGGGTGAGGGTCCCTGGACCATGACTTCCCATCAGCCTAGAAGTACAGAGGAGTGTGTCTCATTTAATGTCTGAATTGCACACATATTTTCTTATGGGTTCTATTTATAAGATGTCAATCAATAAAGACCAAAACCAGTTTGTTTTTTTTTTATTAGTGTTTTTCCTTCCTAATGAAAAGCCAAGATACATTCTGCCCAAATGCCAGCCAAACAAAAACAGAAGTAAACTCGTGATTGCCTAGTTGCAACCCTCCTCTTTGTGTGTGGCTCCAAAACTGGGGTAAACCTAAAGGCATCTTTTGAAAGTCAGGGGTCATGTCCTCTCCCAAGGAGATAGTGGAGAAGTCAGAGAGCCAAAAATATCTTATTTCTTTAGCAAAAAGCAGAATAAGACAGACAAAGGGAGGTAAAGGCCTATATCAAAACTCAAAGGAAGGGGCTGGGGAGATGGCTCAGTGGAATAAGCACTTCCCTGGCAAGCACAAGGGCCTGAGTTCAATCCCAGGTTCTGCCAACAACAACAAAAAAATAATGATTCCTTTTCTATCAAAAAAAAAAAAAAAACACCTCAAAGGAGGTACTGGGATAAGAAGTAAAGGCCAAAAAGGGACAGCCAAATAGCTCAGCAGATTAAAGCGCCTGCAAGCTGACACAGGGGCCAGGGGTTTGATCCCCGGGCCTGCTGTGCTGTGCTGGCCCAGCCCCCAGGGCGCGCTGAGATGGCAATTGAGACTGGGCATGGTGGCTCACGCCTGTAATCCCAGCACTTGAGGTGCTGTAAACAGGAGAATCATGAAGAGTCTAATCTAGTAGTGAGACCCTGAACACCCTGTAGGCCCTTTCCTAAGATACAAAAAAAAAAAAAAAAAAAGGAAGTAAAGGTCAGAGGGCTAGCAGGGTGTGGCAGGCTGGAGGTAACTGCAGGACAAGGCAAAGATTCTGAAAAGAAGTATCCTAAAGTAAAGGCAAGGTACAGAGGTAGAAAGCTAGAGGGAAAGATGCCTAGGCCTTCTGTCTCCACCTCAGGGAACCTGACATGACTTGTCACAGTAAGAGTGTTCAACCCCACAGGTGCACATAGCTGTCTTGGAATTTGACCACACTGTGTCCACTCTCAAATCCACCCCGAAAAACCTGACCCAAGCTGGGCTCAGATGGTGGCCAGGGAAGTTGTCATCCATGGCTCCTAAAAAGAGAAGGCACAATCATTGCTAATTATACCAGGACAGCAGGCACTGATGGAGCCAGTTTTGGACAGAGGTGACAGGGTGTGGCAGAGGAAGAGGCAGCGAACAGGAAGAAGCTCAGAAAACAGGGGGACAGTAGTGTTTCTGCCCCACAATTTGCTCTACAGAGTCTTTTTAATTTATGCTTTCAAACCCAGGTAACCTGACATAGGAAGGGCATTTGTTTCCACAGTAGACACGTTTATTCAGGTATTGCTTTTTGGAGAAAAGTCTAAGCTGTTAGGCAGGGAGTATTCAGGCTTTCTGTACTCACTGGGACCCTTTGTATCACAAGTGGCAAGTAGCTATTTCTTCTCTAACTTCAGGAGTGCTTGGAAAGCCTTTTTTGCAAAATTGCTCCCAGTCCCAATGTTGTTGCTTTGGGGTTTTGGAAATGTTAAAATAACAGAAGCTAGCACAGTTCCCAGGGAAGGCAGAACTGGCGTGAGGAGAAATGCAAAATGAAAGTAAGTGCAACATTTTTTTAATTCTAAAGATTACGGCAATTATACACTAAGTGCACATAATATTAAGGTTTCTAAAATTGCAGTGGTGCATGCCTGAAGCTCCAGAGGCTGATGCAGGAGGATCACTTCAGTCCAGGTGTTCAGAGCCAGACTAGACCATCTAGTGAGACCTTGTCTCAAAAAAAAAAAAAAAAAAAAGCAGGAAAAAAAAGAAAAAGTTGAAGGTGAAAAAAAAAAAAAAAAAAAAAAGCAGGAAAAAAAAGCACAAAAAGTGAGATCGTTGGTGCTCAGAATACAGTTTGCCATCCTAACAGCCCAGAAAAATTGTAGGCTGGCATAAGGCAGATTTAACTCAAGGCAGGAAAAAAAAATGGGGCAGGAAAAACATAGCCAAGGAAGAAAGCAGTGGCTTTCCCCCTCGTCTCAGAGAATGGCAAGTGAAACCACCTTTTGCCACTCTACTGTCTTCCCGGGTCTCCTTCCCATGTTTTGGGCATCTGATGCTGCTTCTCAGAGCCCACAAGGCTTCTACCAAATCCAGCCTCCAATTACCCTGCACACACACCCAACCTAAACTGTGGCTTATAGGGCAGAAAATCTCGGCCACACCACCCTGCTGACTTAAGCCTCACTACACAGTGCAGGGCTGAGTGGCCCATGAAAAATCCTGCCTATTAATCAGAAGACTCCCTAACTGGCATAATTTTAGAGTACAGTATAGTATAATACAAACCTTCAGGAAACAGAGATTAGGGAGAGGGTACACATGACACAGGCAGATAAATCTCCTCTGGGACTAATGGCAGAGTAGCCTCCTGAGCTATTTCTAAGAGGAAGTGTGGGGGGGGGGGTTTGTTCAGATTTTTTCTTTATGACAGCAGTCCCCCTGGCAACAATATGTGGTCTGAGAACACAGGAAGAGAGGGCAGCAGTGGGCTGATAAGATAGGGACAAGAAGTACGCAGTCACCTACGCATAACAGATCTGCTACCTGCACTCCACCGTTCCTGCTGTCTCTAGAAGTGCAGATGTGTTTGTGCAAGACAGATGCAAGGGCACAAAGAGGCAGAGAAAGGCAGAGGGAGAGAGCATATCGCATTTGGATGACGGAGTCTCAACTGTGACCACCTTTCTAAATGCTGTGCTAGAATTTGGCAGGGTACTCATCTTGCTACATGACGTCTTCTAAAATGAGCATGATTCCCACAAAATCTGCAAGTTATACAGATTGCTAAGAAAGAGAAAGCACCAGCATGCAAGGAACCATCATGTAAACACAGAGCACAAGTAGGTTCTCTAAGCTGGTTTTCTAACAGGAACTGATCCCCACGTGATCTCACCGCCTACATAAAATCATTTCTTTCAAGAAGCTCACCTTTTTACCTGATGCCTGAAAAATCTTAATTAACGTGCCTGATCTTCGGTCAGCTCTAAAAATGTAAACCTGGGGAATAAAAACAAAATCTAGTTAGGATGAAAGCAATGACCAGAAACATTTATCAGCATCCTGTTAGAGTCCTATTTAACAGCCAGGCACATAGCAACTGTGCTGACACCAGCTGATATTAGTGGAGTAAGTACAACTCTCACATTACAACCTTGTGGGAAAGTGTGCTTTAATCCTGAAGTGAAAGTTACCTCCATTACTCCTGAACCACAGAATCTATACGAATCATACACAATCTGGAAGCATCCAAATTATTAGCCAGCAATTCAACTCTTAGACATAGTTTCCTTCCTTAAAATAGTTTATTCAATCCTATTATTTAAAACTTTAACAGCTATAAGGCAAAGAGGCATTTAGACAAAAAAAAGTCTTCCAAATGGATTCCACATATATTATAACCAAAGAATCTGCTTGGATTAATATAAGTTTAATTTGGGAAATGCAAATTTACAACATTTAAAACTAAAGTTCCTTCCCTATAAAAATTTTCACTGGTCTTTTTCAAGTTACAGTTTACAGAAAGACTATCTCATGAGAGACAGAGAAGGGGACCCTCCCCTGGGACAGGGACAGCCATCATAGCATAAAGGGTTCTGTACTCTGATACCAGAAATTAAGGTCAGAGGCCCATTCTGGGATCCTTAAATATCAAGTCTGTGTGAGCTCTAATCCCTGGGAGTGTGGAACAGTCAGTAACTTCATCACCTCTGACCAGTTTCCTCATTTCCTCTCAGGTCATGCAACCAAAAGAAGTGTACTCATGTTCTTTTTTGTTAACTGGATCCAGGACTCCCTCTGGCTGCCTCTATCAGTTATAAATATCATTCCTGTCCTAAGACCTGACATGGACAGTGCAGTCATCACGATTATCTTACGGAGAAACAATAAAATCAAATTGAATTTTCTGTAATTGGCAAAAAAAGAAAGCCACTGTTCCAAGTACAGAGCTCCTGCACTACTGGGACCTGGAAGCAGGCATTTTCACCAGCACCATGGTGCTGCCGGCACACAGCTCCTCCCCAGAAGACACCATCATATCAGCAATGTGCATAGTGCTTTACCTTCCACCACTTAGAGGAAATCATGCGATTCAGAAAAACACAACCCTTTCTTGAAGTTATCAAAAGTTCATCTGCTTACAGCCTTGGTTTATCCGGTTGTTAAAGGACCTCTCTCCATACCATCAGCACTAGAGAAGAAAGGAACATGCTCCAGAAATAAGAGAGTTCCTGACTTCTACCTCTGAAGATCCACAGGAATGACCCACATAAATATTTTTCAACAATGCCAGCCAGCTGGATTCATTAGCTCCCTGATCCTCTTGATACTCTGGCCAAAAGCTCCCATTCACAGTGATCTCAGGGCACCAGGGCCTCTTTAGAAACCAGATGCCACTCTTCTAAACCATGGAAGGTACAGCAGGCTTTATCACAGGCCAGCCCCTAAGGGCACAGAGTGGTTCACACAACTGTCCAGTTTTTCTCGTCAAGCTCTACAGAGCTTATTAAAAACAGGTTCCTGAATCATCTGTATCTTCCCCACCAGAGTTCTTGCACCCTGAAGCTAAATAATCAATAAGCATAGTTCTCTACAATTTAAGAGGTCATGATTCCCCAAAGGATTCATCCTTGTATCCATGGGGTCTGGTCTACATTCTGGGCAGATACTTACCAAAAGCCAGGCCGACATATTCCCAACGCAGCCTTGGGTTCCACCAGTCATGGGAACTCACTGTTCCTTTTTAGACTGGGAAAATGAGAATTCAGGCACAAAAAAACCTTCTATACACATTTGGAGCACATGCCTGTAATCTCAGTACTCAGTCTCAAAAAAATTTTTTAATAAAAATTAAAGAAAACAAAGAGACCTGGAACTAATCTGATTCCATGAAGCCAAAGTCAAATCTTGAAAGGGCTTGGGAAGGTAAGCACCATAAAGAATAGTCCTATAGAATAACACATACCCCAAATCAACTGCAAGGGTCTCAGAGGAGAATGTGCAGAGAATGAACAGTGTTAACAGCATTCACATTTTCACTAACTTTCACAAGAAAAAATTCTCAAAAGTGATTTGGAAGGTGTCCTCACTGTTGTATCACTAGCCTGCCAGGAACCTATTAGAACATTCAGGGGCAAGTCAGTGAGTGGGTAAACCTCTACAATGGGGCAGATGCTCCCCACTTCTGTCAGTCCTGTGTCTCCTCACCTTTCCAATGCCTTCATCCTGTGGGGCACCTCCAACCACATCTGTGCTGGATGGGTGGGTGAAGCGGCCAGCAGTCACTGCATAACCTGAACATTAGAAATAAGGACAGGCTTGATGAAGATGCTCATGGGAGAAACCAAAATAAACCGAAAGAAAAAGGTTCTCAAGCATGTGCCTGCTCTGGACATCACACTGCTGTTATCCTGGAAACTTAACTCAGTAGGGAACAAATGGAAGCCATCAGTCTTCTCATGCTTAAATGGCTCCAAACACAAAAACGACACCGTGACAAAAAAGCGTTATTTCCTGAATGTCTTCTTTGGGACAGGTACTAGATTTGCCTTGGTGCGCACAGTAGTCTCTATATTGAGTAACAGGCTGTTGTATAAATATCGTATGTTTTTATTCTCTTGTTCCTGGGCATTTGTTTTTAAATTGAGGCAATTATGACTAAATTTGCTGTGAATATTTTGCATATGTCTTTGGGTGTCATTACTACTTTAAGTGTAACAACTCTATGAAGAGGCTATGATTCATTCTGTTCTGTGAATTTGGAAATGGACAAAACATGGCCAAACAACATCCCCAAGATCATGCAGTAAGACTCGGGCCCAATCTGTGTGACTCCATAGTCCCTGCTGCTAACCATTATGCGACATCCTTATACTGCTGAAGAATGCATGATGGATGGACAGTCAATCAGATAGTCAAGAATCTAATACAAAAAGATCCAGAAACTAAGGGAAAAGCATCGGAGCTTAATCAAAACGATTTCTGCCTTCTAAGGACCTTCCTAGAAGGCTGAAGCACTCTTGTGAGAGGCAGAAACCCTGGCCAGGGGGCCACACATTCCTTAAACCTTTTCATCACCCTCAAACCTTTATGTTATAATTGTGGGCTGCATTCTGTGATGATGCATATTAATTGTTGCCATGTAATGATCCATCTTGCTTCTCCACGTGGCTTACTTCTCTTAGCCTAGAGGTTCATGTTACCTCCAAGAATCATGAGTGACAGCTAAGGGCCTGCTTTGCACACAGAGAAACCGTAAGCCCCAAGATCCACAGGACCTGTCACCATCCAAACTGGGCCATCTTCTACATTTTCTGATTCTATATACATACGTTGAGTTTTTACTTATACACCAGGTACCACAGCAGGTCCTGGGAATGTGTTACAAAAATCCCACTTCAAGGTGCTAGCAGCCTCTTCGGGGTTTCAGTGCCAGTGACAGGTGTTGTATCAGCAGTGTGCTCTGGACAGACGGCTCAGCACTGAGCCCCTCATCAGAAGCCAGAGGCTTACATCAACTTTACTACTATGGAACATGTCACCTGGGCAGGCACATAACTTCTTTGTACTTCAGTTTCTTTACCTCTAAAATGTGTACAATTATAATAGCTACCTTACAAGGTTGTTTCGGGAATTAAAAGAAGTAATACACAGAACCAGGTGCAGAGTAAATGCTTAATTAATGATAGCATCAAACAGTTTGATGAGCATAAGGACAAATATCTAAGACTCAGTAAAAATATTGTTGGGTCTGCACTATTGGGCCACCACTTGGAACCATAAAGGAAAAGACAAGTCACCAAATCCCTACTGCTACCTAATAAGGAAATTCCCAGCAACTCTATACAAAAAGGGGCCAGGAAAACATTTCCTTGATTTAAGTCATAAGCAGTGAGTGTGAAAAAGCACTGTTTGGTCACTATTAGGCTTTCCTAAATTTAGCTTTATTTTCAGCCCAAAAGTACAGCAATTAGGGCATGAATTGAGCCTTGTAATAGTCATTTATGTACTAAGCAAAGACAGCCTATCTCTATTCTTAAGTGGGTACAGCCCTGGCTCAACACAACTGCTATCTGACGGCTATTGATATTTATATAAATATCATCTTTCTAGAACGCTAAAAATGTTTACCAAAATAAGAGCACTCTTCCTCACCTTTTAATTTAACTTCAGCATTAGGATGCCATCTGTCATGAGCATTACTGGTCCTTATTACTCTGACTGGTCACCAGGAAGCAGAGGCCCCATCCAAAGCTTCCAAGAAAACTAAGATCCTTCACCACTTACCTGGATCCGACCTCGTGAATATGAGTAACTGCTAAAATGAGGAAATAAAGTAATTGCTTCCCTAGAGCCTCAAACTATTTGCTTTTGAAATAAACCACTCAGGTCTAACTCACTTCCCTCTTTGCCTTCTTCCCTGCCTTCTGTGTGTGGCTAGAGGCTCAGGGGCTCCAGCAAAAAAATAACTAATCAGCCAACTTCCCATCAATAAAGCAACAACTGATGACCTTGTGTCAGCGGCTCCCATTCCCCTTTCTCACCTGTCATCCCCCAGTTACTTACCCAGGTAGGTGTACCTCCTATTCATGACTGTTTCATCGTTCAGTTTAAAATATGTGTTGTCTGTGAGGTTCAGAACTTTGACCGTTCCGGCCCAATAAAATGACCCTGGAGCACCCATGACCACCAGCTCCTACAGAGAGAAATCCAAAGGTAAATGGGGAAGCCAGAGAATGGGTTAGGAGATGCTGTGAGCATGACAGTCACAACAAAGAACTCAGAATTAAATTCAATGTACTTCACCATCTATTTTTTCATCATCTTACCTATAAATACATCACCGGATTCTACAGCATTATTATAATATTTTTCATTTTTCAAAAAATATAAAATAGTAAAAAAGTATTAGAAACAGTATAAAATTTCATTAAACAAAGGAATAGGAATTCAACAATGGTTGCTATATTGTATGGTGTTATCTTCAAATTAATTTAGGTTACCAGACAAAAACCTGCAAATTGATTTAAAAAAAAGAACACCACCAACAAAAAAGTTATCTAAAAAATTAAAAAGCAAAAAGAAATTTTAAAAAAGAAAAAAGTTGAAGCATTAACTGCTCCTTTCAAAAACCAGCAGAAATTAGCAGTACAATTATGCAAATCATCATTCTCCAGCCTTATTGTCATAGGCCTGGGATTACCCAGCTAAAGACATGAAGATAACTGCCTGAATAAGAGAACAGAATGAGTGACACATACCAGGTCCCCACCATATCCAGAGGGGGTTGTATATAATTTTGACTTCACACCAACAAGTTGGAAACAGCAAACAATTGACATTTTTCTAAACCACAGAATTCCAGGGAATATTACTTATAAAAAGCATTAGCTTAGCTAACCTGGTCTCCAGCCCCACTTCCACTAACACCAGGTGCCTGATGCACATTAGAAATAAAACAGTGACCAAAATCAGCATTGCAAAAACTATATGCCAGAAGCAGAGGAAAAATCACTCAGGTGCTCTCTGTTCTCAGGAATGGTTCTCAGGTCTGGTTTTCTGACCACTGCAGCCCGTTGCAAACTGAGAAGAACAAAAGCAAAAGACTCCAGAGGCCCACTAGGGAAAGGACATAAACTAGAAAGAGAGCAGAGGCAGCAAGAGACTATAGTTCTATTAAAAACAGGTTCAAGAAAGCAAAAGGCACAGCTTTCAGCATTTAGATTAGGGAAAATGTCCTTGTATCGGCCATAGGGCAGGGAGCCTGTTTGCACTACAAAACCACCTAATCCTAAATGCTCCAAATCATTCTATTATCTGAGGAAGTCAGCATGCAAAGCTACATGACTTTGCCCACAAGAGGATTAAACATCTGCATTAAAGTTTAAAACAAGGGCCACTGGATCCTGAATAGACCAAGAGAACAGGCCCGGCACATGAGTGAGATGACCCGGGGCCAAGGGTCCTGAATTGACCCAGAGCACAGGCCTAGTGTGTGAATGAGACTGCCTGGGGCCCACTGGATCCTGAATAGACACCAAGCACAGGCCCAGCATAGAACCCTTCAGCAGAACTCCCTGCAAAGAGGCTAGAGACAAGACCCACCCAGCTGATTCAGGAGCAGAACATCTTGCCAGAGTGACACAAAGGGTTCAACTCCAATGGCTGGAGCAGGAAGAAGAGGAGCAAGCAACACCCACCTGGAGGAATCTGAACTTCGTAGATCCGGACCTGGTGCTAAGGTAATAACTCTATTTAAGCTCTAAACGAAAAGTCAGAAGACAGTGGTATACAAAATGACAAAGAGAAGGAATAAAATGCAGTCTCAGGTCCTGAGTCCACCCAGTACAAATGCAGAAGACACTAGCACTGAGGAAACTGGAAATCACACCCCTGAAATAACAGCACTGGAAGTAAAGAAACAAGTGCAGAAAGGTATAGAAGAAATCAGACCAGAAATAATTTTGGAACTAAAAATTGTAGTGATAACTATAATCAAAGAAGTAGTAAGGGCTTCTAAAGAATACACTGATAAAAAAAATAGAGCAGAATATAAAAATGATGGAACCCCTGAATAAGCAAT